CTTAATGGTTCAGCCCTAAATATCATCTGAAAAGAGGTGATTTGACCCGATTCTAGTGACATCGGAGAACGGTGCCACTAGCGGTGTCACTGTGTTTTTGGGATACCTCCGGTGCTCCATTCGTAAAATTGACAGCTCCATGCAATAGCCACACATTTTATGTAGGGCTAACGACGGGGTTGGGGTGGGGTGCAGGGGTGGGGGTAGGGTGGGGGTACAGTTTAGGGGATGATGGTTATGGAGGGTAGGAAACGTCAATTTTACGAACGGAGCACCGGAAGTGTCCCAAAAACGCAGTGGCACCGCTAGTAGCACCATTCTCCGGTGTCACTCGAACCGGGCCTTTGAAATAAATGGACTACCACAAAGCAACAATTTAATTTGTAGTTGATCTCAAACAATTCAAGAAGGACAATGCCAAAGGAAATATCACACTGGGTTGGATTTAATTTGGAAGCCATAAATTAAATGTCATGGATATGGTTTAGAAATTGAACAGGCCAGATTAGGCCTAAAAAATAGAGGTATATATTCATTAACTGTTACTTTTGCAGCCTGCTATTACTCTCTATCGAAGGCGATGAACAAATATATACTCCTTCCGTCCCAAAAAGTCTTTCCTGTTTCATTTTTTACGCATCCCATAAAACACTTCTATCCCGTCTTGATTGCCAAAAAAACTTTCAAAATAACTTCTACCCATAATAAAGAAGAAATTTTGTAAATTTTAGGCATTTTAGATGTCGTTAGAAGTGTTTTATGAGATGCGCAAAAAATGAAACAGGAAAGACTTTTTGGGACGGAGAGAGTATATATCTTCATACCATGGTGTTTTATTTCCCAACCTTCAACAGATTATCCCTTTGATTAAGTCTCATGCATGTTAATATTTAGTATATTGGAGGGAAAGATGGGATGTGACATGCTTTATTAATCTTTGTAAATATAGTGATATGTGTTTTAGTTGTGTTTATGACATTCCCTTTGTTCATTATTACTTGCCTTTGGTTCAAAATTGTTATCTTTTTATTTTACATCGATATTTATGCGAACCAAATTAAAAAGAAATTTAACCAAATATGGTACATTGTTGCCAAAATCCCAAGAAATGGAGGGAGCATAGCTTTAATTACCATTTTTTTTATTACTACCAAAACACATTACTCCGTATTATTTTTCAATCTTATGCAATATTAGTTTGTTAATTTGTACCCTCATTCTGCAAGAGCTCATACATTTTTGCATAAAATTAAATGTACGGAACATATAAAATCTAAATACTCTAAACAAAAAAATGTATCATTATTAATGAATAAATATGTTGTTTCAAAGAAATTTTTAAGAGTTTTAATCGTAGTTACAATATTATATTTTTAATGTGTTATGAAAAGAAATCATTTTAGAAATTTTTATTTTTAATCAAGAAATTTTAATTTTTAATCAAGATCTCTTTAGCTAAGGTGGTGGGTAGTTAGATATAGAAAACACGAGATCAAGTGTTAGAATCCTATAGATTATAGACTATAGTACCGGTTCGGGCTGGTTCCTAGCTGAATGTGGTCACGACCACGAATTGAGCTCCAATTTCTATTTTTTTTCTTTTTATTTAAATTTTGAATTGAATCGTCCATTTTTTTTGTACGTAAGCCATTTCATGACAAATAATTTATTTTTGAAAAATCTTTTTACAAGATTTACCTAACGACACGAATATTACATATATAGTTTTGACGTTATGCATCACTTATACTTTCGTCCAAATACTTCTTAATTGAAATAACTACTGTCTCCATTCGAAAAAACACTCTCTTTCATTTTTTCACTTCCAACAAACACTACCACTTTCCATTAAAAAACTACTTTTACCATTACTTTTTCTACTTTTACCACCCTATCTTACTTTTACCCATTACATCAGGGGCAAAATTAGAAGTCGACTATAATTTAACACTACCTTATTTTGGCTCCAAATCAGAGTAGGAAGCCTTTTTGCAAACGGAGGGAGTATGTTTTATCACTACTCCTTCCGTCCACCAAAGATCTTCTCATTGCGCGTTACGAGATTTGACCAACTTTATTTTCAATTCAATTTATTTGATTAAAAGGACAAAACTTAAAAATAAAATTTATATATCAAAAAAATACATGAAAAGTTCTACAAAACTAGATGTGACAATACTATTTTATTTTATGATATGAGTGGTAAAAATAAACAAATAAATTGAGTTAAATTTAACCATGTGAATAGTATATCGAAAGATCTGTGATGAACAGAGAGAATATTATTTTAGCACTCCCTTGCAATTTTAAAACTAAAAAACTCGAGGTAAGCTATTGCAATGTATGTGGGCTTTGTAGATGGGCAATTAAGTTTCGAGCAATAATGAGTTTACAATTATGGATACATACACGTTAGCCCATTTCAAAATTGATAACTCAGATTCCGTTTGGTATACAAAAGTGACGAAATTGAAATTGAATTGAGAGTTGAAATTNTTTTATGATATGAGTGGTAAAAATAAACAAATAAATTGAGTTAAATTTAACCATGTGAATAGTATATCGAAAGATCTGTGATGAACAGAGAGAATATTATTTTAGCACTCCCTTGCAATTTTAAAACTAAAAAACTCGAGGTAAGCTATTGCAATGTATGTGGGCTTTGTAGATGGGCAATTAAGTTTCGAGCAATAATGAGTTTACAATTATGGATACATACACGTTAGCCCATTTCAAAATTGATAACTCAGATTCCGTTTGGTATACAAAAGTGACGAAATTGAAATTGAATTGAGAGTTGAAATTCTATTGAATTGGTTTGGATGAAATTGAATTGTATTCTAATTCATTTTTGGTATTACCAATTTCAAATCACATATTTTTGTGCTACCAAACAGCAAAATTGAATTTGTTGTCTCCAATTTTAATTCTATAGTTTGAACTTCGTGTACAAAATAGATCCTCAGAGTACTTTTCAGTTTAAATCAATACCCTGAATGTATAATATAATTAGGCAGCATTCCGTTCAACATATTTTTTCTGCTTCTTATTTATTCTTATTAAATTCATATTACATCAGATGAAATTTAATGAGATCAAACTCAAATAGAATTATTATTATTATTGTTGTTGTTGTAACCTATTATTGTTATCAACTTGTAAGAAGGAATAGATGAAACCATGGAGGAATATGTCTGGTCATGAAAAAGGATAACACCCACGTTGACTTATTATTATTATTTAATAATATTGTTCTTGTTGTTATTATTATTAGAACTTAGATCAGATCAGATCTAATGCGATCGAATCACATACAATCAGACTAGATCAGATCAAATCCATACATATGAGATCAGACGAGATCCAATCAGATCAGACTCGCACGAATTAAATCAGAACTTGAAAAAATCTATCGAATCAGATTAGATCAGACGAATATAGCAGAACCCTATTCGCTTTTTTGAACACTTAATTCTATGACAATTGTTAGTACTCTGTATATGTTTATACCTTGTTTCATTATATATTTAAACATAGAGAGTTATCGACTCAAATGAGGCTGAATGTGTGACAATCTACTCAAAAGAGTCACTTTGATATGATTGGGTCTTTTTCATAGTTGTTCACTTAGGGGTGTAAACGGATTTTAATTTGATCAGATGTGCTATTACCAAATCTGTATCCGTTTATTTTTGTCGGATATCGAATTCGGATACGGATTTTGACGGATACTGAAAATCAAAACCGTATCCGCATCCGTCGGATATAAGATATATCCGTATCCATTTTCGATTTTTATAATCAAATTAAACAATACTTTAATTTTAAATAGGATTAAAGTCAAACTATTATTAAATCAACTATAATTTGGTATGAGATAATTATTTTCTTTGTTTTCATGGTTTATGATATTCTACGATAACTTCATATGATAAAAAGATATACACAACACACATATACACGTATTTTTATATGTTTGTACATATTTTTATGTGTCTACACATTTATTTTGTATATAAAAATGTCTTATATTTTGAAGTACAAATAAAGAAACAAAATATAAACATAAAAAATTAGGAAAAATTATATATAACGGATCAGATATTCGGATAAACGGTTAATTAAATGGATGCATATTCGGATTGGATTTTAAATGGATCGGATATACAATTACCAAATCCGAATCCGTTTAGTAATCGGATATCCTTAATCGAATACAGATAATATCCATTTAAAACGGATGCAGATATTTCCTTTTTAAACAGATTTGGATGTAGTTGAATTTTCGGCTATCCATTACCCGCTCTCTTCACTTTTTTTTTGGGCTCATACTTCATACTCTAAAAAAACAAAACGCAAAAGCTAATCTTCGGGCCTATTTTTTCCTCACCGCTAACTGCAGGGCGCTCCTCCCTGACAGCGTTCAACGATTTCGTCGGCGCTTTACCCACCAAAATTCCACAGGGAGAATATTATGTTGTGGCGCCTATTTGCACTCGATTTAAGCCGCAGTGTACACCCAAATAAGACTTTTCATCCGGTCAGAGCTTTGTAGGGAGGAGTGGAGAAATCTGATATTTTGGGGGTAAGATCCAAATTCAATATTTTCAACTTTTTTTTTCTTGAATCAGTTCAACATGTTGTTATTGTTCGAGTAGTTGTTTGGAATTTTCCCTAATTCAATCGTTTGTTTGGATTTAGCCCTCCTTGAAATTGTTCCACTTGTAGGGTTCTAAAATTCTTAAAAATAGTCCGTAAATGGATTATGCTGAATTGTACATCTCAAATTGAATTTATTTTAGTAATTTATTAGTTTTTTCAAAGGGTGAATTTCCAAAAGGTCAAGAATCAAAACGCTAATCACTAGCTCTGAGGCCAACAGCTAAACACAAACTCTAAACTTTAACTTTGTTTTTAAACTAACATTTAAGTTTAAGAAGTGGCTCATTTCATTCATATAATGATCAGATTCATTATTTCTATAGCATTTTTAGTTCTTTTACTACTCTTTCCGTCCCTAAAGGTCTTCTTTCTTTCTTTCTTAATTTGTCTCCAAATACTTGTTTCCTTTCTATTTAAAAATCACTTTTAGCTTTATTAATTCTTATTTTACTTATCACATCATACTATTAACTAATAATTTGTTTATCACATCATACTTTTATCCATTACATCAAAGATATTTTTAGGAAGTCATCACAAAAATATCTCCCTTAAACTTTGTAAAACTATAAAAGTCAAAACATGAAGGGAGATTTTGACACGGAGGGAGTATTTAGTACATGTTTTCATTTTAACACATTGCAAACTCGAGCTAAATTACGATAATGAAAATCTCACAAAAAATTACTGTTAAAAGTATTGATGTACTAATATTTAGACAAAAAGCTAGTTTCTTACAAAAGATGACTAAAATTACTGAAATTTGGAGTATGTATGTGTGTGTGTCTATATATATATATATATATATATATATATATATATATATATATATATATATATATATATATATATATATATATATATATATGAGAAAAGTGCACGGTTTACCCCCGAACATTAAAAAGTGCACCAAATACCCCTGAATTCTTCTGAAACTGCACGGTTTACCCCTGAACAATAAAAATTACACCAATAACCCCTGAACTCTTCAAAAATTGTACTGTTTACTCCTGAACATTTGAAAAAAGACGAAAATTTTGGGTAAAGGTACTTTAGAAAATCACAAGGACTAAATGAATCATATTCATAATCCTTGTGCGTGGAAGCAACACACTCTCTATCTAATAATTTAGGACCAATGATGCAACAGTTTAATTTGTTCAACAGTATTTGGTACCCCAGAGTACATTTTTTAGTATACAGGGGTAAATCGTGCAATTTTCGGAAAGCTCGAGGGTAATCGGTGCACTTTTTAAAGTTCAGGGGTAAAACATGCAATTTCTAAAAAGTACGGGGGTAAACGATGCACTTTACTCATATATATATATATATATATATATATATATATATATATATATATAGCAGAACACACGAAATGTCACTATTATTTCACTAATTGTGATTCCAAGAAAATTTAGGGGCTGTTTGTTTCAGTCTCTTAATGGTTCAGATGTCTGAATGACTCAGACATTTGCCTATGAATAGTTAAGTATTATACAGAATTTGAATGATTAAGACCTCTTATCTGAATTGATCAGACATTTGCCTCTGAATAGTTAAGCAATATACTAACTCTTAATGGTTCAGATCTCGTACTGGTTCAACACTTAGGGGCTGTTTGGCAACTTCTGAATCGGTAAGTGCTGAACCAGTAAGAGGTCTGAATCATTAAGTGCTGAACCAGTAAGAGGTCTGAACCATTAAGAGCTAGTATATTGCTTAACTATTCAGAGGCAAATGTCTGATCAATTCAGATAACAGCTCTTAACCATTCAGACTCTGTATAATACTTAACCATTCAGAGGCAAATCTCTTAACCATTCAGACATCTGAACCATTAAGAGGCTGAAACAAACAG